ATTTCCTAATTATATCATATTTTTAATTACATTTAAATATACTATGGACATACACAGCTTGTGAAAGCATTTGTCAGTATATTAAACTACCACAACAGATTGCTTGGCACATCTTTGAAAAAATGCCTCTGCTTTTCTTTAAAAAAAGCAATAGCATGGGATTTGCTAGTAGGAAAAAAAGATAATACATTACCAAATTTGGGAAACAATATTTACCTTCTGAAGTTAAAAAAAAATCAAGCCAACAATATCAAATCTATTCAATGAATTAAAACTCTAACCAACTAAGAATCCAAATAAATGGTGGAAATGGGACATTAATTAATAAAATACTGTTCTGCTAGGAAAAAAGTACTTGACATTTCGGAAGGAATTTGAATCTCTTCTTACATTAAAAAATGCAACATCACCTTTAGGAAATTAATTTAAAAATACAGAATATGATGCAGTAGCACAGTGGTTTTTTATTTTTAATGAAAGTTGTTAAAAATCAATGATTTCCATCTACCCAGTGTCAATTCACTATTTGAAAAAAAAAACAAAAACAAAACAAAGAAATCAAAACTCTGAAAGCTTTCCTAAATTACAGGTGTGGAAACTTCTCTAGTGAGGGCCAAAATAGAACTCATAGTACCTCCCCTCCCACCAGAACAAGTGCTTTTGCAAGGTCCATTTCTTCAGGGTTGAGAGGTAAACAATTTGTTTCCAAACCCCATACACTCACTCAAGTATGCACCTCAAGAAATCAGTGGTCACTACACTGTTTAATTAACTTGTTCAAATGCATCTTTTAAATTAGAGGCTATCCCAACATTATTCATTAGCAATCTATATGACAAATACTTTCAACATAAAACTATCAATGAAAACTAGCTTAAGAATATGCTTGTACATGCAACTAACTGCCCATTACAAGATAATGTACTTTATTTGACCATGAGGCACCTGTTCACAGTGAAGAAATATGACCCAGGAAAGCTTTTAGTAGATATTTTATATCAATAACTAGAAGTAGCCACACTGATTATGTAATGGCTTTGACCTATTGTGACTGATAGATCATAAATATTCCTACTGTCCATGTGGTTAAGCTTAGTTCATCTAACTTCAAACAATTCAAATAGTAGCCAGAGAGGAGATGGAACGTATGAAAAATAACCCTCCTTTTCTCCCTCTCACAAATTTCTGATAGTGAACTTCCTTGTAATAGCAGTAAAACGCATTATATATAAGATAAAAGTAACTCTCATATTATGCATCTTATGATCCGATAATAACATCCTACGTTTTCTTCCAAATGGTACAGTCCTAATTTCCTAAGCAAATAATAAAGCAATCAGTGTTTCGATAAAATTATCATCAAATGTGGTGATACTCATCCTGGCATATTTGCAAGATCTTTAGAACACATAGGACTGGAACAGATTCCCACTATCCTGGAAAACAAGAACAGCCTTGTTTTGATTCAAGGTGAATGCTTCCTTTGCCTCGAGTCTTCGGTGTCCATCTGCACAGTTGCTTTGAACTTGGACATTTCTCCAACTTCGTAGTGTTCAATAAAAATCAGAATGATATGTTTAAAGATATTAAAAGGCAATCATGTCTAAATTTGCATTTTGGTCGTGATCTACATCATTGAACAAGTTTGCTCATGCATGTTTCTAAAAGTGTATTTATGCATTCATTTGTCTAAAATTATGTAGCATATGATTTGAAGTACAGACAGTCTGGATGATAAAAGTTTCTTTTACTCCAGAAAATATTATGGAGTAATCTGAGTTGATCTGTTACACAGAATTCAATCTAATTTAAGGATATACAGATAAATAAACTGAATGGTCATCAAGGCACTCAATAGCAATTCAATGGCAAAATGTTGAATCCCAATCTGCCCCCACCCCGCAAACAGTACCTATGCAGTTATAACACAAAGTTAACATGTTTATGAGCATAAGATTAAGAAAGAACTAGAGATTCAGAGTGGAACTAGAATATTAGCTAAAAATTGGTCAATACAAAGCACATCCATTAATTTTTATTTCCTCCTATTCTTTGCTACCTACCAATCTTTAATCAGTAAGAGAAAAACCAGTGGAGCTGGCTATTTGTACAAATATAGATGTGCAATATGTAAACCGGATCCTCATATAGTTGTTCAAACAATGTTGGGTTCAGGTTCACAGTCAAAAGCAGAATTATAAATAATTTAAACTCATAGGCTTATTTCACTCTATTTTGTCAGCTCAATTAGAAAATGATGAATACCCAAATAGAAGAGACAGACTTACACTGGGGGAGACATGGAATCCTTTTTCTCAGGGAATTCTAGCTCTCATCTGTGTTCTTTATGCAAGTGAGCAAACATAATTACCCCCAAGAAGAACAGGCAGTAACCTAAAGGACAGTTTCCATCTTACTAACCAAGTTCAAGAAGCTATAACCAAATCTCGTCTTACTAATTATGTGTTGTTAGGTATTTGAAAATTCAATTTGCTACTCTTTTTTTTTTCTTGAAGCATTCCTGGATAGCCAGTTGTGGGAAATAATCCGTTTATTGAGCCAACTGTTTTCTGGGACAAAACATTTGGTAAGTGTGCTGGACTCTAAACTGCAGTGACAAGTTCTATTTCATAATAGTTTATTCTTACATAGTATTCCAATCCTAATTCCAAAGGCCAACCAACACACAAGATAACCAAGAAGTCTGTCTACATTTCCCGGTGGTTAACGTTAACTCTGAGTCAAAGCAAAGAAGGATGTCATATGATTGTTTTGAGAGAGTTCCTCAGGCTTTGCCTTAGTAATTAATAAGTGACACTGCATACTAAACACTCATCAACACAATCAATGGGGTTGCTGCCTTCCTGAGAACATAGGTAAACCTACTCAAAAGAGTTTTCTTTAGGAAGGCTGCAATATGCCACACATACAGTGGATCCTTTGGAGAATTTCATTCCTGGCAGTTTCTTGGTGGTAACATTTAACAATTTCACTATTTTAACATTTTGAAATGCCAAAAAGAACACACTGATCCTGCAGCAAGGCTTATTAGAGAAACGCAATCTCACAGGCATACAGAGAGGAACAGAGTCCACAGGGAGAAGGGGAACAGAAAAAGATAGAAAACACTGAATAACAAACAAAGCCAGGCACGACTCCCGGTGTGAGATCTAATTTTTCACCAGAATTAAAAACTTTACACACCAGATTAAATCATATCACTTATGGCTTAATTAAAGTTCTAGTCACAACATTCATTTGTATACACATATATTGATGCTATTAATATTCAGAGGTATGAATCTCTGATTTGCCTTCCTAACAATGAGTGTGCAAGCATAGTAATTTTATTTTGAAAGGTCAGAATTAAGCATTTCCACCCTGTGGCATTATTTTACCTTCATGCAGACTTAAGAACACAATGAGACTTCTACCCCTCAGATACTAGATACATACCTCAGCCAAGGGAGCTCCAAGCTTGAAGTGGGAGACATCTTTGAAACAAAAAGAGTCCATTTACAGTAAGTTCTCCTGATAGCCTAAAATGCATTAGTTTATATAAACCATAGCACCATCAAACCTCTTGTCCAACTATGGTATTTGCTGGTGTCCGGCAAATAACTGCTTGCAGTTTATACTGTTTAACATTCTGGAGGTTCATGCATTCTGTTCAAGTATGAAGCTAATCAGAAAATTATTTCTCTCATTTAAGAAAGTAGTCAGGGCCTTTTCCTTTGATAAACTGATTTTAAACTGAATTAGAGAGCAGAGGGAAGGAAGGAGTACAGGGAAGGGGGGGAAGGAAGATGGGGGGGGCAGAGGAAAAAATCAATCAGTACATCTTTTCCTTGCAAACTGTCGAGAGGGTAGGATTAGAAAAGCAACACTTTAAATCAGATAAAGTCCTATGGGAACCTTAAAGGTTGGTTGCTCTGAGCTTCTCAATATTCTGCAAAAGAGATTGATGTCATTTGTGACCCCACTGATACCCAATGCCCACTGAGTTTCCTCCTAGAAATTGCATTTCCTCTATTGTTCAAAAGATAGTCACTTGGTAATAAAAACGAGAAGTTATTGGACCCATAGAGATATCTTTCAAACACCTTTAAAGCCAGTAAATCTGTTCTAATCTCTTATTGGATTAAATGCCCAAGAAGGCTTAACATGTGGAGAAATAAACAAAGGCAAGAATAGCTCTTATTTGGAAAACAATTTTAAGATGAGATACAAAATGATTAATAGGTCACTAATATTTTTCTTCGTGTATTCCTTCAACTTAAAACCTTTGAGAGATTAAATGACCTGTTAAAATCAGAAGCCTGCGTGCATGCTTTTAAACTTTCAAATGACCAAAGGGCAGCCTTTCCTGTCTATCACGTAATTATTTACATCTGAGAGGGGATCCATTTGTGATCTGTGAGCCTCAACAAGAAATACCTTTAAAAAAAAATACAACGTCAACTTTATTCATCTAATGGCTAGCTCTGAGTCAAATGCTTCTATCAGCATGCAAACATAAGCATTAAGTACTATGCACATTTGTTTTTCCTCCGAGGGCTTCTGTAGCTACCCTTTTCTATATCCCAAGTTTATTTTTTGACATCCATTTCTTTACGTGACATTTAACGTTTTACTTTAGTTTCTAGGTTTGATGCAGATTAATGTATTTCCCTGGGAAGACTTAGTGGCTGACATCAGGCAACAACTCCAGCGCCTGCTTTTCAAGCATGCACAATTACACATTTTTCTACAAACAGACATCAGCATACAGAGAGCCAGGTGCACACACATTCAATAAATAGTAAATGGTAGAAACCTCCAGAAGCAGCAGAGACAACAGTTAACAGGCTGGGGCTATCCAGCTAAGTAAACAGCCACGCACGATTCGCTCTCCTGGAACAAGAACTCCAATGAAGGACACTTGGGGATCACGCTGGTCAGTACCCGATGGGGCGGGAGGTGGTAAAAGTATTTCCAAAGGCAACTCTGTCGGGTCTTACCCTTCGCATCCCCCGGTCCTCTGGGTAGAAGCTCCCCGGGCACCTCTAGCCCCCGCACAGGGGCTCCTCCTCCGCTAGAACGAAATGTCCCCCCTGACTCTAGGGAGAGATCTGCTGGGAGCCAAGACGCCCGGCTTGGGCCAGAGGACCGCACCGGCGCCACGGGAGCCCCGAAGGGACCGAGGCGGCGAAGTGGTGGAGGAGGAAGGGGCGGCCGGGGGTTAGCGGGCGGGGAGGGCGGGGAGGGCGGGGCGGCGGCGCCGGCGCCTGGGGTGGGGTGGAGCGGGGTGCGCCTCCGGGCGGTCGGTCAGTAAGTCAGTCGGTCCGCGCGCTGAGGTCCCCGGTCCCCAGCACGCGACAGCGACGGGGGACTGGCGCCCCCTCGGCTGTGACAGCCCGCGAACCTCGCCCCTGGCCGGGGCTGTGCGCTGAGTCCTCGCGATCGCCCCGCCTGCCCCGGCGCGGGGCCGCCCGTCGTCTCCGCCAGCGCGCGACGCCTCGCCCAGCCGGTGCGGTCCCTGCCTCTCCCTCCGCTCGCTCTCGCGTTCTGTCTCTGGCTCCCTCTCGCTCCGGTCCCATTTATGAAGCGCGGTCCCATCACGTGTTAATGAGCCTTTGTCCTGCCCTGGCAGCGGCGGCGGCACCGACTCCGCCGGGGAAACCGCGCGGGGAGGGAGCAGCGCGCGGCGCCCTCGGCTCCAAACTTTGCTGGCGCGGGGCCCCCCGCCGCGCCGCTGGCCCCGGGGCCCGAGGGGACTCGCCTTGGCGCAGCGCACCCCCCTCCCCACGCTCCCGGGGGACCCCCCGCGGCCACGACCCCACTCTCCGCCCAGATACCCGCACACCCTGTCCAGCCCCAAAGGGGGCTCGTGCCGGCGCCGCCCCCGACCTCAGGGCCATTCATCACGCGCGCCCCGCCCGGCGCAGCTCCAGACACGTTGCGCGGAGGTCACGTCTGGGACAGCCGGGTGGGCCGGAAGGGGAAGGGGATCGTGAGGGGAGAAGCCTGCTGGGACACGCGGGGCCCCAGGGTGCAGCTTCGCCCCGTCCCCCTCCGGCCTCAGCCACAGGCCGCCCCCGCCTCCCCACCGCGGGAAGCATGGAGCCGGGCCCCGGGGCCGAGCGAAGCCTTGGGACCGCGCCGCGTCGCGCAGCCCCTGAGCCATTTGATACCTGGCTGCGCGCGGCCACCTGTCCTCCGCCCACGGGGCACCACCCAGCCCCACGCGGGGCGCCTTCTCCAGCCGCCGCCCCGGCCCCGCGCGACCACTCCGGCGAACCCCACCCTCCGATCCGTGGCGGCAAAACAGTTGGGCTCCGTGGGCGGCTGGCTCGGCGCCCCCCCCCCGGGCCCGGCGCGCCCCCTCCCCAGCCCCCCGGGGTCCCGCTCCCCGCACCTTCTCGCTAGAGGAGGACGCCCCTCTCCTCCAGGGCCGAGAGAGGGGGGCTCCTGGGGTTTGGGGGCGGCTGCCACGAGCGCCCAGGGATGCGTGGTGCGCTGGGCGGCCGCGGCAGGAATTAGGGGACATGCTCGTTAATTGGTTCCACTATCAGCCGCCGTCTGCCTCCCGTGCGCACGGATCAGACCTTAATTGCTCTTTACATTTATCATGGTGAACTGCGAACCTCCAAACAAGCCCCCGCAGCGGCTTCGGCCGAGAAAGCGCCCCTCCTCTCTCCCTCCCTCCCGGGACCCAAGCCGCTCGTGGCGGAGGTCGTGCTTATTTAGACATCTTTATTTCTCTTGAGTTGGGTCTGGAAGGACCGCCTGGTTCCACCTGATGGAGCCACATCGCCTTGTTCGCAGAGACCCCGCCATGGGCGCTACGTTCCTTCCATGCGCGTTCGTGATTGCGGGCACCTTGTTGGGATTCAACGAAGTCTAGCCCAGACTGCTTCCCTTGCCGCCCACTTTGACCCATCTCCATTGCCCTCCAGCCCCTACCCGCAGCCCGACAGGAATAGCAATGTCTGGGCCCCGTATTTAGGGCCAGGTGGCATTCTGAATCAGGCTAATGGAGCTTCTCCAGGAAAGAAGGAACATTGGTGAACAGCAAGCTGCAGAGTGGGGAGTTCAAGATCCCCCGGAGGAAAGAAAGCTTGCACTCTGCCTTGGAAACATCAGGCCAACACTTAGCCTCCTGCTGGGCATTGGGGTCTTCCAAAATCCTCTTAGACTGCTTTAGGGCCAAGAAAGTCTCACTTTCCCATGAAGGAAATGGCCACTTGAGGAGGAGTGCATGCAGAAGCATGTACACACACACACGTGTACACATAAACTATTCATGTATATGTATATTTGTATATAGATTTCTGTATGTGTTACATATTCATTCTAGGTAGGATGAACAGATGATTGACAGACAGACAGACAGACAGATAGATCTGACCCATACACAGGTGGAAACATGATTGAGAGATGGGAGGAGAGATGTGGGATTCCTGTTGGGACTGGAAATCTGCGAGAACTCTACTAAAAAAAAAATCAGCTCTCTGGAGCTTTAAAGAGAGGGGAAGGACTTGAACTTCTTTGCCTTTTTCTTTCAAGGTTCATGTTTGTTAGGCTTTTACCCTCAACCTCAAATCCCTAGCAGAAGGAAACATTTGTAAAGCTTTGCCTTCCTGGGGGCCTCCCAGGTTGTCACAAGAAGTGACTGCCAAGTCCCTGCTCCACCTGGCATCATGAGTCCAAGAGACAGCTGATAATTGAAAGGAAGGATCTAGCAGCTTTTGCTTTCAGTGTGATGGAGACATCTTTCCGTCACAGGACAATCTAGGGAGTGGATCCTGGGAACTGTCAGACCATAAGATTTCACCACCACCCCTAGCCAGGGTGAGTCTGCACTTGGGTGACACAGCTGTTTATCATCATCCAGGCATACCACCTGACATAGCCTGGTAGCACCCCTTATATGTCATTCTCCTACACATCAATCTACCTCGTGCTGGTTGATATCAAATCTGAAGGCGTGAACCACTTACAATCTGTGGAAGATGCTTCATGGAAATCGTGTCGTTCAACTCAGCCAACATCAACTTTCTTTTTCATAAAGAGGAGCAATAGAATTCTCATTCCTATTAGGGATGCTGACAGCTTATGTGCATCTTAAAAATCATCCTAAATCTTCTTTTTAGCCTTAGAACATAACAGTATCCATTAGAAACTCTGAAGAAAAATAGGAGTCCTTAAAAATAGCGTAAATGACACTAAAACATATCAAAATACAAAGCTTAGCTAAACTACTTCCCAAAGGAAGACGCTCTTAGGGGAGAAACACAAAGACACAATGCCTCTGATCATAGAAAATATTTTTTATTGAACTCCAGGAAGTGGAATTGTCTTGTGCTTTGTCTGTCCTTGTGGTGGGGGGACAAAAGGTGAGTAGCAGTGGTACTGGACTCTGTGTGGAAAATGAACTTGTGGGTGGGGATGGAAGGGAGCAAAAGGAGGGGTGACATCGTCCAAAATAAAAATGTACTCATTACCTGACTTGTGAAATGGTAACCCCTCGGCACATCACCTTTATAATTAATCAATAAAAAGCATTAGAGCATTTTAAGTTTTTATCTGATTGTATCATATCTGTAATTAAGTGTATCCTATGGTAAATTGTTAGCCTACTAGCTCTACCTGGGAAGTTTATTGTTATTTTTCCCCCTCTTGTATCCACTACCAAATGGTGGATCTTTTCACTGTATCCTATGAAAACCCAAGCAGAAACCTAGGATCTGAATGGCTAAAAGTCTGTTGATTGTCTACAGTGACCCGTAGACCCACTCAATCATTACGAATCAAATCAAGAAATAACTCCAGCAACGATAACTGTTATGCTTAATATTCTATCATTTCGATGGAGTGAGATCCTGACAGCTGGTGAATTGTACTGACTTTCCATTTAGAGCTCAGGGATAATGCTCAGTAATAGAGTCAAAATTTGACTTGTGACCTGATACTTTATTGCTATATGTGAATGCATTGTTGAATGGAATGTGAATGCTTTGTTGTTTGGAAAGTGCTGTTTTTGTGGGTGTGTATGTATGTCTTTCAAATGTGATCTGTCCCAAGCCTAAGCTCATCAGGACATGGACTGATAGCCACAAAACGACTGCACTGTTTCCCTCTGGGCTTGGGGAAACTGGGAGAGAGACAGGTAGCAGACCTTACACAGGCACCATGCTCCTAGGTAGACTTTGTAAGGATCACTTTTATACGGGAAGGAAGGAATGATTTACTTCCTACATGTGGCTGCCTGTCTCCTGTACATCTGTGAGAGTCAGCAAGAATCAAAGGCAAGAGCTCAGTGTCCTTATTAGGAACATTCCATTGAGGACACATATATCAGTTAAAACAAATCGTTGATCACTACAAATCTAGATCGAATTAGAACCTATGACCTTTTTGGGAAAGAACATGGCAGCCCATTAACTGGCTTCACTAGTTCCTCCAGTGGTAGGCTCTTTTATTTTTTAGATCTTTATCCTTTTAAAATTAGAACAGGGCTATGATGAGCCAATTTACTGCTGTTCTGTGTAATTTAGGTTATTCACTCTGAAACGTAGAAGATGAGAGCACAGTTAACGCTGCCTATTTCCTCTCCAAAGGAAGGTCTCAATTCACAGTAGCCGATATGTTCATAGAGTGGACACCGAACACTGAGAAGTGTTCTGCCTCTATGAGAGAGCTGACCCATTCTCCAAAGTTTCTTCTTTGTTTATTTTGGTAGGGGGGTTCTTTGTCGGTCATGGGGCTTGAACCCTGGGCTTGGATGCTATCCCTCAGCTCTTCAGCTCAAGATGAGTGCTGTACCGCTTGAGCCACAGCGCCACTTCCAGTTTTCTAGTGGTTTATTGGAGATAAGAGTCTCACGGACTTTTCTGCCTGGGCTGGCTTTGAACTGCGATCCTCAGATCTCAGCCACCTGAGTAGCTAGGATTACAGGCGTGAGCCACCGGCGCCCGGCCAAAGTTTCTTCTTTGACTGGTCATGGTTTTTGTAACACCTCTTTCCCACTCACTCAATGGGTAGGTAATAATCTCCTAGTTCAGGAAATAGTGAAGCCAAAATGTCACTCTGACAGTTTGGGGGCGCTGGCCCAAGTCTGGCCCTTGGAGTTGATTTGACATTTTCCATGTGAT